TCGCAAACGGAAGTGAATTCAAAAAGTCTAATTTTTCAACTTTTTTGTTTTTCAATATTTTTTTTTCGGATTTACAGGGTTTATAGAGCGTCTTCAAAGATATCTAAATATGTTTTTATTTTTTTCATGCGTGCGTTTATTGCAAAGATATGACCGAACCACACTTTGTCTTACTGTCGGGGGTTCGAATCCCGCTCGGGGCGTTCCCCAAATTTTTTCTGTTTTTGTCTTTTTTCAGTTGCAAATTTCTTTTCACTCTTTTATAACATGTGTGGAAGATTTTGCCGATTTTTAAAAGCTATATTTGGAGATATTTTGTGAAATACCTGGAACAATCGCGATCTGTGTTGAGAAACTGCTGTAAGTGAACGTAAACGAAAAAATACATTATGAAATTTATTTCATGGGATGACGCAGACAATATGGAAAAAGAGAAGTCGGTCGGAAGACCTGCTTGTTGCACCAGCAACAAGAACGCATCTAGTTATTATTATTATTATTATTATTTTTTTCCCCTTTTCTTGTAAGACGGATTTCTCAGAGATGGCTGGACAGATTTTCTTGAAATTTTCAGGGATGGTGCAGAATAAAAATACGCTCAGACGTTTTTTTCATTTTTTCAAAATTCACTTCCTGTCGTCAGTTTTGTCCGATTTCCGCTTTTTTCAGAAATATTTTGTCATAGTCATATCTCAGAAACGGTAAGAGATTAAGACACCAAACTTATATGAGTAATAGATCTTGATAAGTAGGCGAGCCCAATTGGGTTAAGATCGTCCGGCGTCACTTCCGGTCGTCACAGGAAGTGATCAAAGAAATCGAAAATTTCAACTTTTCTTTATTGGAACTTTTTTTGCATCATATTAAAGCATTTTATTTGTAGTTTCGAAATATGTAAGTCCCACCGGAAACAAAAACGACAACTTCCGGTTATAAGAGAAAAACTGCATATTTTCAGTATTTTTCTTTCCCATAAATATTTCTTATAGATAAAGTATTTGTCATGATTTTTGGATATGTTATTAAGACTGCAAATGTCTACAGTAACGTCAAATATATTTGTAAAATTTACTTCCGGTCGCGTGATTTCCTGTCCTAAAAATGAGAAGTAATCATAGCTAGATCTCAAAAACGGTAAGAGATTAAGACACCAACATTATAGGAGTGGTACATCTTGACAAGTAGGCGAAAACATAAGGAATAAGATCGTCAGCCGTCACTTCCGGTCGTCACAGGAAGTGATCAAAGAAATCGAAAATTTCAACTTTTCTTTATTGAAACTTTTTTTGCATCATATTATAGAATCCTATTTGTAGTTTTAAAATATATCAGTCCCACCGGAAACAGAAACGACAACTTCCGGTTATGAGAGAAGATAGCTATATATCGTAAACGGTAAGAGATTAAGACACCAAGCTTATAGGAATGGTAGATCTTGATGAGTAGGCAAATCTATCTGGGTTAACATCGTCCGCCGTCACTTCCGTTTATCACAGGAAGTGATCAAATTAATCAAAAGTTTCAACTTTTCTATATGGAATCTTTCGGCCGAACTTTTCTTTATTGAAACTTTTTTTGCATCACATTATAGAATCCTATTTGTAGTTTTAAAATATACCAGTCCCACCGGAAACAGAAACGACAACTTCCGGTTATGAGAGAAAAACTCCATAATTTGAGTATTTTTCATTCCCATAAATATTTTTTTCAAATAAAGTATTTGTGATGATTTTTAGATATGTTATTCACACTGCATATGTCTACAGAAACGTCAAATACCTTTGTAAAATTTACTTCCGGTCGCGTTATTTCCTGTCCTAAAAATGAGAAGTTATCATAGCTAGATATCGTAAACGGTAAGAGATTAAGACACCAAGCTTATAGGAATGGTAGATCTTGATGAGTAGGCAAATCTATTTGGGTTAACATCGTCCGCCGTCACTTCCGGTTATCACAGGAAGTGATCAAATTAATCAAAAGTTTCAACTTTTCTATATGGAATCTTTCGTCGTAATTCATTATAGCATCTTATTTATAGTTTTGAAATATGTCAGTCCCACTGGAAATAGAAAAGACAACTATGAGAGAAAAAACTGTGTAAATTTAGTATCATACTATCCCATAGATACTTTTTTATAAAAAGAGTAATAGAAATCATTTTAGGACATGTTATTCAGACTGAAATGTCTAGAGTAACTTCAAATTTCTTTTCAAAAAATGTAGTTTTGGTCACATGATTTCATTAAGTTAACATTAAGAGATCTCTTAATCTGCAAGAGATCAAGACACTGAACTTACATGTATAATAAACCATAAAGATTGGGCACCAGATATAGGATAACTTGCGTCTGATGTCACTTTCAGTCATCAGAGAAAGTGATAAAAGAATTAATGAAAATGATTTTATGATTAAATGTTATTAAGACTATAATTGTCTAAAGTAACGTCGAGAACCTTGGTAAGTTACACCTCCGGTCGTTTGTTTTCTTGAAATCATTTTAAATATTATATGCCTTTTTTAACATAGATAAAACCTCATTCATGCAGATAAATAGAGGAGAACGGAAGACCTTCTTTGTTGCTATAGCAACAAGAGTTTCTAGTCATTTTCTTTATCATTTTTGTTTGAAAAAAGATTGTTATTAAGATCCTGTCTTTTGTTAAAAAATGATTTGTTAAAATTTATGTGCACGTTATTCGTGCTATTGAATACTGCTTTTAATAAATGTTCTACAGGTTTTTTTTAAGTGCACTTAATCTGTGGAATTTCCTTAATTTTTAATAATTCCCCACGATTAGTAAAAATGGTTCTTTTTTTAAGTTTGAAAATCAGGGGTTCATTTCAGCCGTGACTACTGTCACAATTTCTTTTATTTCTTGACTACACTGTACCGTAATAGAGCCTACCAATATTGTATACTGTACATAAATCTTCTTGCTTGTAGCCTCATGTGCATGAATTAGTTTGATTAGCCCTCTCACCAACTACTTTTTATATGCATGTACATGTATGTATCTAGATCATGATCAAGTCATAGTATCCAGTTTTTTCCCCATATTTTTCTCTTTGTTAAGGACCCTCTCTACACAAGTGCAAAATTTTCTGGGCCATTGATAAAAACACATTGTATAAAGGAATTATTATTGAGGTTAATTATTTAATTTTCAATGTATGATGCGTTGTATTTCCCCCCAGGAAAAATGTTTAAAGACAACACAGTATTAGTGAAAAGAAATCATTGTTAATTACTTTAATAGAGAAAATACATCTTAATAAGACGTTCAGTTAACTTATCTTGACCTTTTAAAATGTGAAGAATACTTGAATTGATTATAAATTGAGTAATATATTGTAAATTGCAATTTTTGAACATTTAGATCTAAGGGCAGATTACTCTTACTGCAGAAAAATGTCTTAGAATCAGAACTCTTTAGTATGCAGAGTAGAGAGGGTTCTTAATTGATTTTCCCCCTTATATATATTTTTTATTTTTAGCTTTATTGTAGTTTTAAAACACAGAGATCTAGTCAAATGTAATTCTATGTTAATGTAGGTAGTTTTCTGTAGTCCAGTTCACTTTAGTTTTTGTTTACTGTTATCCCCCTTTTTAACATGATTTTTTTTATTTTTACCTGTATCTTTTTATTTCATCATTTGTTACAAATTTGTTACAAATTAGGAAACTAGGGACAGCCTTTCCCTATGGATGTAATGACAATGTCCATAGTGTGGGAAATCTTACAAGCCCGCAGTGTAATAATGTAAATGTGATGGGACTTTTTAACAATACTCAGAGACGTAAGCGTAGTCATGGACATCGTTCGTACAATAAACCTGCAATACACGACGTCTCTTTTGATTCATTACTACCTTATGTAAATCAACAGTTAGGTCTACATCATATTCGTACCAAACTTTACTCTGTCCCTTTGAAACTTTTTAATAGTCTTCTTGAAAAGACCAAGGAACATCCAAATTTAGATTCCTCGACACCTGAATATAGGCTCGGTTCTGTGATTATGGATATTGCACATCATAGGCTTTTTAAACCCGCACGTTTCACGGAAGAAAATGCAGCTAAAACAATCCGTCTTTTCCTTAAACTTCAATATGCCAATAAAGGAATTGACGCGGTAAATATTAGTAATATTCTTAATCACAAAAGAGTCCAGTCTTGTATTCCACCATATTTCAAGTTAAAGACTACGCCTTGTATTTCCTACAAATATACATCGACCATTGCTTCCAAACTTTTCAATTACAAAAATACTTTACATGGCCTGGATATCGACTATCTGAAAAATAATCCCTTTTCGTGTTCATGTTCTTCTTCGCCCTATAACTATAGTCCTGCTGGACACGTTATTACAGGTGACGTAAATATAGTTCGTAATGAGGACCTTAGATCACTTATTTTAAAAGGTCCTAAATATAGGGAACCCCGATCCTTCAACTGGCGTCGGAATTTCATAAATATTATGGATTCTGTTGAAAATTACGCCAGACGATGGGCTAGCTATGAAAAAAAAGACATTGACACCTTGTCAGAATGGATTAAATGTATCAGATCACAAACACACATTAGCAGATGGAGAGTAATATATTAAAAGAGCATTCAGAAAAAAGTTTTATTTTTAATCTTCACATGTTAATTGAATACCGATGGAGTGTAAGCAAGACTTTTTTCTACAGAAGGTGAGCAAAAGCCACTACATAGCTAAGCAAGGCATATTAAGTTGCTACCACAAGACATCATAACATGCCAGTGAAGTTACATGACTGTTACATTATCTTGCTAATTTTGTTAAAAGAGTTATTGCCCTTTGATTGATTGATTTTACAAACACTATTGTTTGAGTATGCGCAAGGCGCCACTTGTGATTTCCGTTCTACAGAATAGAGAGTTAAAAAACGTGCTCGTTGTCTTGTTGTCATTTCACTGGATGTTTGCATTCAGAAAACATAACATGGTGTCAGAATTTACAGAAGTCTCGTAAAAATGGATCTTACAGGCATACCTACGCCATGTATGGATTGGACATCGACAAATTTGGTCGATAGTTGGAAAAAATTCCAGCAGCACGTGCAACTGATATTTGATGGCCCCTTGAAAGAGAAAGATGAGACTGTTAAGATAAGTTATTTACTTATTTGGGTCGGCGACAAAGGTTGCGATGTGTATAATACATGGACTCTGTCGAACGACAATAAGAAAAAGCTCGACACTTACTACAAGCGTTTTAAGGCGTACGTGCAGCCTAAGCTCAACCCTGTGTTTAGCAGATTCAAGTTCAATAACGAAGTTCAAGGTCAGCAGTCGATTGAGCAGTTAGCTAAAGATTGTCAGTATCACGATGCAGACGAGATGATCCGTGATAGGATTGTGTTTGGGACAAATTCCGCCAAGATTCGCGAAAAGCTTATCAATGAAGGTGACAAGCTTACTCTGGATAAAGCCATCCAAATCGCCCAGAACCATGAATACTCACAGGAGCAGCTTAAGTCGATGGGTACCACGTCACAGGAAGTTCACGCGATTACATCTAGACCACCGCCAGGAAATCGTGATTCCCACAAGACTTCCAAAACTGGCCATAGCACCAGTCAACCTGAACCGAAACGGTATAGTGACACAGCCGCAAGCCATGCATCCAGTAAACCTGTATGTCCAAAGTGTAGATACAAACATACTTAAAAGGAGAAGTGCCCTGCGTACGGTAAAACCTGCAAGCTTTGCAACAAACGGAACCACTTCGCCAAAGTTTGCCGTAGCAAGAAAGTTCATGAAGTTCGCGAGCCACACACAACTGGAGCAGAATATCCTTTATACAGTCACAGCTCTAATGACAATTTTACTGATTTGTTTGTTGATTGTATCAGTGTGGTTCATGCTCTTAACAAATCTGGTGTGTCATATGAACAAAATCAAGCATTTACACATGTTACAATAGGTCCAAATAATGTACCAGTCAAATGTAAGCTTGACACTGGCTCACAAGTTAATGTTATACCAGTATCTACTTATAAACAGCTAGGTGTTGCTGATCAGTTGAGTTCGTCGTCTAATTTGTCTGGTTATGCTGGGTCACCAGTTAAGAAACTGGGTTCTTGTAAAGTAGCTGTTAAGGTTGGGGACAAGATATTTCACACACAGTTCCATGTTGTTGACCATGACAGTAGACATGCCCCACCTATCCTCGGACTTGCATCATGTATGAACATGGGACTTGTTAAGTTAGTTAATTCCTTGACAGTTATGTCGACTTAAACAGACACCATTTCAGACAGTGTAATAGACAGAGAGACTGTTTTGACACAGTTTAAGGATATCTTTGAAGGGTTAGGGTTATTCCCAGGGGAATGTACTATCCATATAGATCCCGATGCTATACCAGCTATCCACCCCCCTCGTAGAATACCACAGGCTTTGGGTGACAGGTTTAAAACTGAGTTAGACCGGATTGAGAAGTTACTGGTCATTGCTAAGGTCGACACCCCCACACATTGGGTAAACTCCATGGTTGTTGTCGAGAAGCCATCTGGAGCTTTAAGATCCTGCCTTGACCCCAGGGATCTAAACAAGGTCATTCATCGACCCCATTACCCATTGAAAACTCTCAATGACATTTTACCTGAGTTAGCTGGTGCACGTTATTTCACCAAGCTTGATGCGCGCTCAGGTTATTGGACTATTAAGCTTGATGACGACTCAAGCTATCTTACTACGTTCAATACCCCTTATGGTAGGTATCGCTTCCTCAGATTACCCTTTGGCCTGAAATCTGCACAGGATGAATTTCAGCGCAAGATTGACTACTGTTATGCAGGTCTCAAAGGTGTTGTTGCTATAGTCGATGACATTCTTGTCTACGGGAAGACCCGTGCTGAGCACGATAGCAATTTGAAAGCTGCTCTTCAGCGCACAAGAGAAATGGGCATAAAGCTCAATGATGAGAAGCTCGATGTAGGTAAGACACAAGTCGAGTACTTTGGTCACTTACTTTCTGAAGATGGTGTCAAGCCTGACCCTAAAAAGGTCTCAGCTGTCAAAGACATGAAACCACCGGAAAATCGTAACAAACTCGAGACAGTACTGGGTATGGTAAACTACCTATCCAAATTTGCACCAAACTTGGCTGATACTACTAGCCCCATGCGACAATTATTGTCAAAAAGGTCTGAATTTGTTTGGGGCCCAGCCCAAGAAGAGTCTTTTGCTAAGGTCAAGGACATAATCACAAGGTCACCAGGCAGAGTATTGGCCTATTTTGATCCTAGGAAAGATACTGTATTGCAAGTTGACGCCTCCAAATTTGGTCTTGGAGCTACTCTCTTACAAGAAGGCAAGCCTGTGTCTTATGCCTCGAAATCACTTACCCCATCAGAAATTAACTATGCACAAATTGAAAAGGAAATGTTAGCTATTCTGTTTGGGTATAAGCATTTTCATCATTATGTTTATGGGCGTGAGGTGTGCGTCCAAACAGACCACAAGCCATTAGTGTCTATTATGCAGAAGTCTATACTTACTGCCCCTGCCCGCTTACAGCGCATGATTCTGCAATTGCAGAGATACAACCTTAAGCTTGTTCATGTCCCAGGAAAACAGATTCCTGTAGCAGATACACTTTCTAGGAAATACTTACCTCATACAATGCCAGAGCTCTCCAAGGGCATTGAGGCTCAGTTACATTTGGTTCATGAAAACATGCAGGTCAGTGACTGTCGTCTAGAACAGATTAGGTTGTCTACAGAATCAGACCCCCAGTTTCAAACCTTAACCAAATTTATTTTGGAAGGTTGGCCAGACTTACGCAGAAATTGCCTAGACCCCATTAAGGAATATTGGAACTTCCGCGATGAATTGTCAGTAGAGAATGGGCTCATTATGAAGGGTCTTAGAATAGTTATTCCCCATGACCTCAGGACAGAGCTCTTGAAAATATTACATGTGGGTCACACTGGTGTTGAAAAAACCCTGAGACGAGCCCGTGACATAGTTTTCTGGCCAGGACTTACGAAGGACGTTACGGACCTAATACTGAACTGTAATGTTTGTTTAGAATTAAGGAATTCCAATCCTAAGGAACCTTTGCAATCTCATGAAATTCCTTCATACCCCTGGCAGACAATTGCCTCATATCTCTTCCTATGGGATGACAAGGACTATGTTCTGTTTGTTGACTACTATAGTAGGTATTTTGGAGTTTTCAGGCTAACCAATACTCATAGTTCCACTATCATCTCAAAGTGCAAAGAAGTCTTTGCAAGGTATGGTATACCTGAAAATTTTGTTTTGGACAATGGTCCACAGTATTCCAGTTATGAATTTGCTGATTTTTCCAAAGAGTGGAACTTTCAGCATGTCACCTCAAGCCCCAGGTACCCTAGATCTAACGGTCTTGCAGAAAGGACAGTACAAACCATTAAGGGCATTCTTACTAAGTGTAAGGCTGACAGACAAGACATTAATTTGGCCATTCTGACATACAGGACTACTCCTTTAGACATAGGACTTTCCCCATCACAACTGTTAATGTCCAGAAGACTTAGGTCAAACATCCCTACTGTTCAGGAAAGCCTTAAGCCCTTTCATCATGACACAGACAAGATTAGGGTAAAGTTACAAGTCAGTCATGACAAGTCAAAAGTCTACCATGATAGATCAGCTCTACCTCTAAAGCCTCTCAAATCTGGTGATTCAGTTAGGGTTCAGCTCAATGATAAAAAATGGACCCCAGCCATTATAATGCAACCACATGGGAATAGGTCATATTTGGTCAAGACACCTGCTGGTTCTTTGTATAGGTGCAATAGGAGATTTCTCCATAAAACAAAAGAAGCTCCCCAACCAGAAGAGCTTGCTCTTCCCCAGTATGATGTTTTCAAACATGAGCCTTTGCCAGATGATACCCCTAATTTGAATTCTGGTAATGATGTGCAACCTGGAAAAAATCCTGACATAGGTAACTCACCTAAGCCCCCAGAACAATCCAAACCATATGTAACTAGGTCTGGAAGAGTTGTTAGACAAAAAATTATTCCTTCTATGTAATCAAATTTTCAATCAATTGTTACCTTAATCATCATATTCAGTCTAATTTATTTGCATATGCATGACCATTAAATATGGTCAATATATTCATTGTGAATCAGAATTTTATATACAGATATGGACACTTTTGATTTTCAAATTGACAGTGTTAAATGCAGTATTATGATTGTACATGAATTAAGTGACTTTACTTTTTGTTAAAAGGGGAGACGTTACATTATCTTGCTAATTTTGTTAAAAGAGTTATTGCCTTTTGATTGATTGATTTTACATACACTATTGTTTGAGTATGCGCAAGGCGCCACTTGTGATTTCCGTTCTACAGAATAGAGAGTTAAAAAACGTGCTCGTTGTCTTTTCACTGGATCTTTGCATTCAGAAAACATAACAATGACAAGTGTATATTCTCTTACCAAGATGAAGCTTCTGAAATAATAATGTTTTACCTTCATTTTAATTTACACAATAAGCATTTGTTTTTTTTTTTTGTCATGAATAATACTTACTTAAGACTATGGTTTTGAAGGCATCCGTCGTACGGATATGTACGTCGAGATCTCCCTCCCTCCTTACTATGTATGTCTCCCTCATCATTGTCAAGTCCCATAATCTACAAAATGATACAACTTCTTACAAAGGGATATTTTCAATCTACTGTTAACTAACTGACTAAATTGTGTGTGCCATTTCTTACCTCCTCTAGAATCTTGAAATTTATTATTTATTTATTACTTTTGAAGGGAGGGGTGTTAGCATACCATATTCAAACAGTTTGTTTTTGTAACGTGAAGCAGTCACCCATCCAAGGGTTAAACAGACTTGCTGTTGCTTAACTTGCCTGAAATAGAGGGAGACTCAACCGCATCACCAGAAAAGCTAGCTCACTGGCGATTCAATGCAAGTTCCCTATATACTGTCCGCTCAGTTTTTTTTTTATATAGGTTTAAAAATCAAATATAAGAATATAATGTTAGAATACCTAGCGGAATTCATCATTAATCCTACTACTGATAGTGGAATGTCACTTTGGGTACTAGCTGTAGGGATACCAGTGGGATGGTCGCTCCTCGACGAGGAGACATGTGGCAAAATTTGCTTTTCAGAATTAGTGTAACTAAGTCATAAGTAAATACATCTTTAACAGAATCAGGAACCATATTTTGTTCTTTTAATTGTTCCTAATTACAGGGAAAATCATCATCCATTTTCATTGGTAATTCTATTTTGACTGGTCTGTGTATCTTTAGTGAGAGCCTGTGCATTTTGAAGTATGCGTACCAAGTTAAGATTTATACATAGTATGGAGAGGAGGCCACGAATCCAGGGGGACCAGGAAAAGACTTCGTTGGACTGAAGGAAATCACCAAGGAGGAAAATAAGATATTTTTAAAGGAGAAGGAAGGACAATGTGTGTTTTCCGAGTATGAACATGGAATCGCTGCAGATCTCATCAGTGGTATGTTAAGTTTTAGTGAGCTTTTCTGATTGTAATGTTTCTGTCGTTTATGTTATAAACTTCGTCTTCTGCAGAACCACTGGGCAAAATGTCAACCTTGCCACAAAGTATCCTTGCGTAAAGTAATTTTTAAATTAAGGACCACGCACAGGTACTTGTGGACAGGAACCCCCACCCCCCAATATTGAACCCCTTGGGCTTATTGGATTTTTTAAGAATTATATTTATTACACTTATTCATCAAGTTTACACTATGAAATAATTGTCAAAATCCCAAAACAATGCTCTACAAAAAATGTACCCACTTTACATTCTAAGGGAGAAAGGTATGCCACTCTGGTTTGTTTTCGTAAATTGTACCCCCACTGGTCTTTGGGTTTATAAACGTGTATTTATTTTATTTCAACCAAAAATGTCTATTCACATCGTCTCTACATATATTTCTGTCTTAGTGCATGCCATAGGATTACGCAGCACTGTTAAGGCCTACTATGAGAAACCAACGGAAATATATGTGCAAAAAGGGTGACATTATTTTAAATAAAAGACGTACAACACACTGGGGGGGATAACTCTTGCGATTTCAATTGAACGTTTGACATGACGTCAAATTTAACGTCAAAAATAAAGCGTCAAAACGACGAGTAAAACGATCCCGATGTATACCGGTATCAATCGTGAAAGAAAATTGGGATATATTGGGACTATCACTTGGCTGTGATTTTGCGTACAATATTCAATCGAAAAGTATTTTTTTAGTTAACCCGATTAAACTCCGTAAAAAGCAAGACATAAAATACCATTTCATTTCATATACAATAAATTGTTTTGTTTTTTTTTCAAGGCGCAGGATTTTTTTTTTTATTCTGAAAATTTTATTTTACATTGCCGAAATTCTCATTATGTACAGTTGACTATATAATATTCCGATTAATGATCTTCATTACAATTTGTGCATACACGATATAAATACATGGATTGCTTTCTTTTTAAATTTTAAAAATAAAACAACAATAAATAAACAAAAAACTTTTTACAATGTAAAATCGATTTCGTTCTCTGACCTTTACTGATCAAAGAGGAACAACTCTGAGAATGTAGGAGATGTTTATTTTCCTCCCTTTATTCACGGTTTTCCACAGAATCAGATACATTTAGATTTACAGCAAGACTTGATAAATTCGAGAATTGAATACTATAGACCTCATATACACAATGTAAGTATAGAATTGAAAAGAATTATTCACTTGTACTGAAATTATCTGCATTTATGAATATCCTATTGCAGCAAATTGTAACTTTGACTTTCTGTCAACAATGTCGGTTCGAATTTCCTCGAATCAAAACAAAATGTAGTCTATAAGATTTTTAAAAAAAATTAACAATATGCGATTTGATTTAAAATGAAATAGATGAAGAGTTTAATGTTTGATATTTTGAAGTTAATGTGGACAAATATGGAATTTTCATTTTAACTTAAGAAGCGACGACATTGAAAGAAATGCGTACAATATCATGAGGGGTGTACAATACATGTGCATCTAATGCAAATGTCGTGTATCCCCACGGCCACATACTGTCTCGTTTGAAATAATGACATGAAAGAAACTACAATTATTTCATTTATTTCACAGAAAAGTTGAACATACACCATTTTTAATGAATAAAATTAAAGATATAAAATTAAAAATCAACATATTCACGTTCAACAAAACTAATTACTTGAATATTCGTATCCAGTTTTCATGTGATATGGAATGCATAACGCATACGTTTGTGGACTATAAACACTAAAATCTTTCAGTAATTTTGTCCTCATACATATAAAATGAGTATAGTCAATATTTATTCTGCATTCATGAATTTGAAAATTAATTCATACCTCCTATACTCTTGACGAACTATACCAATTTGCACTGTAAACGACGTTTCGTCAAACGCGAATGGTCTGCGACGCAAAAAAGGAAGGGGTGGGGGTGATGGGAGTATTCAAAAATTGCATAAAAATCTACATTTAAATACGCTTTACAAATGAGAACTTTTAAATTTGTAAGTTAATATATATTTTCAAGCTAAATCAATATTCCAATTTAATTTTTTTAATGTGTATTTGTAGATTCATATAACAAAGTGATCGACCCCCGTCTAGGGAACGCGATTTATTGAGAAAGGGGGAGGGGGTAATTTTCCGCTATTAAATCAAAACTGGTCGTACAAAATTTATACAAAAAATTATGAAGATTATTTTTACCACCAGCTACCTAAAGAAAGTTTTTTACTAAAATTAAACGACAGGTTTTTTTACCAAAAAAATTTGAATTTGAAAAATACGCATTTTTCAAGGCTTAGAAAATTCAAAGTTTTTCAGTTTAAGGTCTTTAACAATTGCTTTGATGATATGTATATCAAAAAGATGACTATGTTTTTGTTTTAAATGGTTAAAGGAATAAGCCATTGAAATTTGACATTTATATATAACCTGGTTTTTTTGAAAATCAAGGTTTTAGTAGTTCATTGATTAAAAAAAATTCTCTCCTTGTAAACAACTAAAGGGGGGTAACTTTCGGAAGTTCCTGTCCAAAAACCACTCGAACGATTTTGTCCAAAATATGCATACATGCAGTACATATAGTAATGTACTAAATATACAATAAGGATATGGAAATAACGAACAGTATTCAATCTCAACGTCCATTAAACAAATATACAAAACAAGAGCAGAGCAAACACGGACCTCCGAAACATCAGAGGTGGGATCAGGTGCCATGGAGGAGTGAGCATCCCCTGCTGACCGGTCACACCCGTGTGCTCATTGTCATAATCAGGAAATAACGGAAAAAATCCGTAGTCAATTCAGTGTATAAATAATGGACTAACAATTAGTATGAAAAACGTCAGTCAGCATTTCATTCAATGATAAATTGTATTTGCTGACAAGGTCATTGTATCGACCATAGAATTTACGAAATGATGACTTTAAACGAGACTGTTGATATTCTTGTTTCATCAACTTGCTTGTCAATAATTTACCTCGTTTAAGAAATTGTTCATACGTAGAGCATGCTCTTGCGTATCGAATCAACTGAGATATAAATACTCCGTATGCAGGTGATGAAGGTATATTGCTGCATAAGTAAGGGAAGTTGACGATAGAAAAGTTAAAGTCATCACGTTTATTATAAAATAACGAAAATTAAACGATAGGAATTTTTTTGAGGTAGGTGTGTTGTACATCCTTAAATTTATTTTAATTAAGCTGTTTTATTATCACAGAACGTTAATACTTATGGAAATAGCACGTATTACCCACTCTGTACAGTATAAAGTTTCATCCCACCGATGGACAGTCACGTGATGAATGCATAGTACGTGTACTGAATGTAGGTCAATAACAAATTTCAATATCGCAAGGGCATACCCTAGTTGAAATTTAAAATTCAAGCTATTAATTGTTTCTGCAAACTTTGTAGTTTCTGAAAAGTGCTGCTGCTTTGAATAGAATTCGCGTTTTAATAGTTAAATTTTCAAGTAAATAGGCCAATGT